TCACTATGCAGATTGTGAAGAGTTATGCATTAAATCTTATTTTACAGTCGCTGATGACTGCAGTTGTAAATGACAGGAATTACAGTAAACTATCAGACCACTATAATTTGAAGTGTACAGCTGAAGCTACATCATTAAAGCGTAATGATGCAGAACCACCTACTACCTGAGATATGGCAAAACATTAATCGGGTAAAGAGAGATTTGACAGTTCTCCCAAACAAACACATCTTGCACTTCCACTGAATGTCTTTATTCAAAGAGGATGTTGAACTCTGAACAGCCAAACAAAGAAGGCTACTAACACAGAAATGAAACTGTAGAACAATTACAGTATGAATGTGCCTACTGTTGGGGCTGTACAGCTGTTAAACTGGGATTTCTCTGGCAAAACAGATGGACATCATTCATTAACTGTACAACATTAAGTGATGACATATTGTATTTTGTGTTTTGCCTATGATGTTGAAAAATACCACTAACAATGTAAAACATTTTTTGCATAATGGTAATGATTAAAGTTGCAAAGAAACTGCAGTGGTAACTATTTTTTATTCCATATTGTTATGTACATCTAGCGATAATGGATTATTGAAAAAAATTTAGAGTGGGGACTATGCAGTGGTTGTTAACTGGATTTTGTGTACTGCCACATCCCATCAAAGCTGTTGTTTTGTTCATTTTCATCTCTTTGCTTGCAGATTGTTGATCCAATTGTTACTAGTAACAGAACAAAAACTAGTTTTAATGTTCAACGAGAAGTCACAATAATACCATTAGAAAAGCAAATGGAAAACACACTCGTTTGGCTAATGTTCTGGCAAGGTTCTCTCAAAGTTATGAACAAACGTTCTTCCAGTAATATTAATAAAATGTTTATTCAGAGTTATCTGGTCTTTAATAATGTTCTCAAAATGAAATCGTTTCATCTTACGGTGACGCATTGCTGCCACACACATATAATTTTTTCCACTCAATTATGTCGTAATAACGAGATGTTTTCTCGTTAAAACTACATCGTTTCTCGTAATAACAAGATGTTTTCTCATTAAAACGACATATTTTCTCGTAAAAACAAGATGTTTTCTCGTTAAAACGACATCTTTTCTTGTAATAACAGATGTTTTCTCGTTAAAACGGCATCTTTTCTCGTAAAAACGAGATGTTATGTCGTAAAAACAATATAATTATCTCGTTAAAACGACATCTTTTCTTGTAATAACAGATGTTTTCTCGTTAAAACGGCATCTTTTCTCGTAAAAACGAGATGTTATGTCGTAAAAACAATATAATTATCTCGTTAAAACGACATCTTTTCTTGTTAAAACGACATATTTTTTCTCGTAATAACGACATATTATGTCATAAAAACGACATGTTTTCCCGTTATTATAGATAGGCTATATGGTACATTATGTGAGCGAGCTAAGAGACTGTCCGCGCTGCTGTCGCCACAGTCTGACATAAACGAGGATCTGCACGCTGCTGAAATTATTGAAATACACTGTTTTAAATGTATTTTAATGTAATGCTTTTAATTGAAGCGGCATGTTTATTAGGATTAATCTCCAATCTGTCTACAATATAATGCTATCCAATAACTGCACTCAGACCCATGACTCGTTTAGGCTATGATCAGATCAAAACAGTTATTTTTGAATAATCGACTCTGGGCTTAATATTTCTTTATTTGAATGACTGAAGTTTGATTTAACAACAAATCGAAATACGAAGAAAAAAAAAGAAATAAAGAGATTTTCTAATAGGATAATAATAATAATAATAATTATTATTATTATTATTATTATTTTGTTCTGTTTGGCAAACGGGCAAACGAAAATGAAACTAGATTTTTCATATATTTTGTTCGTGGGTTAAAAAATGAGCTTGCTATTTGTGCGTGGGCGGCCCTAAAAACGCCACTTTTCTCTCAACCTGTTTTTACTGCCTATCTCATCACACAGAATAAGAGTTCATCTCATGTACCGCTCTGCAAATTAGTCACAATAACGTTTCTTCAAACTGTCTGGCTGTTGTATAGGCTATATTTCTTGCAAATATACATCTCATATAAAGCACAACACTGCTCTTCTCGGTTCGGCGGCACCGGCGCCCTTAGATCCCTTAGGCTACACTGTGATAACAGAGGAAAGAAATGTCTGCTTTATTTTCTATACTTCCACAATAACAACAAAACGTTACAAATTGCTTTCGTAAAATAACAGGGTGCGACTAATACATAATTAATATATAATCAGACTAACGTATCAAAGCTGCCCACGCATGTGAAACAAATATTAAAGCATAAGCTCATTTATTTACCCAGGAACAAAAATAGGCCTAAGAAAAACCTAGCTTAATTTTCGTTTGCCCGTTTTCAAACAGAACGAAATAATAATAATAATAATAATTATTATTATTATTATTATTATTATTATTATTATTATTTTCATCAACCGGTCAAAATTTACAGCAGGGCATGCAAATTCGGTCCGTTTTTGGCCCAGACAGAAACTGCACACAGACTGAATGTAAATATAAGTGTCTGTAAATCCACTCACTGACAGCAGGTGGCGCTTATGGAAAAGCTGAATTAGAGCTCTTTCCCGTAACCTCCGGGGACAAAGCAGTATTGCGATTAAGATCACTTTCTTTAGGCATTACATGGAGCGAAGATGAAAACAAAATGCCATCTAATCGTTTCTGAAGACAGTCAGAACCTTCAGAGGTACATTCATATAATTAATTCATTAATCTATTCATTTGTATAATTCCCTTGGCACTCTTTTAAAACCTCCCAGCTTCTCCAAAACTACTCTGCGTGCTGTGCGCACGTGAGACTGTCACTTAAAACTGTGCTTTATGCTGGATAGTATTAATTCATCCTCAATTGTTCAAATCGCGGTAATCAAATATGGTTATTAGGGATGCACCGATACCACTTTTTCCAGTACTCGCCCGATACCGATACTTTTATTTTTGGTACTTGCCGATACATGTGAAACAAATATTAAAGCATAAGCTCATTTATTTACCCAGGAACAAAAATAGGCCTAAGAAAAACCTAGCTTAATTTTCGTTTGCCCGTTTTCAAACAGAACGAAATAATAATAATAATAATAATTATTATTATTATTATTATTATTATTATTATTATTATTTAACGAGAAAACCTCTGTTATTACCAGAAAAGATGTAGTTTTAACGAGAACACATCTCGTTATTACCAGAAAAGATGTAGTTTTAACGAGAAAACCTCTGTTATTACCAGAAAAGATGTAGTTTTAACGAGAACACATCTCGTTATTATGAGAAAAGATGTCGTTTTAACGAGAAAACGTCGTTTTAACGAGAAAACCTCTGTTATTATGAGAAAATATGTCGTTTTAACGAGAAAACATGTCGTTTTAATGAGAAAACATCTCGTCATTACGAGAAAACATGTCGTTTTAACTATTACGAGAAAATGTCGTTTTAACGAGAAAACGTCGTTTTAACGAGAAAACGTCGTTTTAATGAGAAAACATCTCGTTTTAACGAGAAAACATGTCGTTTTAATGAGAAAACATCTCGTCATTACGAGAAAACATGTCGTTTTAACGAGAAAACATCTCGTTATTACGAGAAAACATGTCGTTTTAACGAGAAAACATCTCGTTATTACCAGAAAAGATGTCGTTTTAACGAGAAAACCTCTGTTATTACGAGAAAATGTTGTTATTACGAGAAAATGTCGTTTTAACGAGAAAACGTCGTTTTAATGAGAAAACCTCGTTTTAACGAGAAAACATCTCGTTATTACGAGAAAAGATGTCGTTTTAACGAGAAAACATCTCGTTTTAACGAGAAAACATCTCGTTATTACCAGAAAAGATGCCGTTTTAACGAGAAAACCTCTGTTATTACGAGAAAATATGTCGTTTTAACGAGAAAACATGTCGTTTTAACGAGAAAACATGTCGTTTTAACGAGAAAACATCTCGTTATTACCAGAAAAGATGTTGTTTTAACGAGAAAACCTCTGTTATTACGAGAAAACATGTCGTTTTAACGAGAAAACATGTCGTTATTACCAGAAAAGATGTCGTTTTAACGAGAAAACCTCTGTTATTACCAGAAAAGATGTAGTTTTAACGAGAACACATCTCGTTATTAC